GCCGATAATTCGCCACTTTACAGATTCTTCCAAATGATACTTCGAAGCCATAACAAACCGCTTTGAGTCCCTACACACTGAAATCAAACGCTATGTTGCAGAAATTCACTCAAATATTCAGTTTGCGCAAAGCGCTTGATTCACCCTTGGATGACGTAACGCCTAGATTTGCATATCACAAACCGTTTGATTACTTTTGATTGGATAATGCTAATTAGGCTTGGTTTTTCACACATTCCCTGCAAATACGGATCACATTGATTCGATATTTCATTGAATATCATCATTTTTGGGTATGTAAAGATAATTTTGGACATGAGTGTACTTTAAGATAATTATTACCTATTTCTTAGCTTTTAGATTACAAGAAAACACGCTTACTGAGATTTGTTTAAATATAAATATTTTTCTGAATGTTTTAATTTTCAATTAACTTAATAAGTTCGTATAATTTTTTTTATTGTTTCATAAAATACCGAATAATTTCATAAATTTAATATTTATCTCGGTCAGTAAAATAAATTATAGCTGCGAATAACTGATAAAAATTAATCTTCGTTTTGTATGAGTTTCGTTTACACATGTTTCGTTTACACATGTATCTTATGGAAGACCTCTTCCATCACTACCACTGAAATAAGGAATTGCCGAATATAGTCTGCTTCTGAGAGGCAACAACTATATTTTATTTTCGAAATGCTCTGAGGTTTTCATCTGAAATCGATGGTTAAGTTCTTGCATTTTAATTTACTCGTAAATTTCAGCATTTAAGCTGCTGAGGAATGCGTATTAATTCAGAAATATTCGTATTTCTGTTTCCGAGTATATATAATTTGTAAGAATTTGAATAATTTGTTTCTTCAATAACCAAATATCAACCATTACTTAAGTCGTTAAAGTAACAGCAATTACTTAGTAGATCAGACACGGAAATACTAATATACATCGATAAGGCACAAATAATTATTCATATGCAACCTATTGGATCTTGATAACGCAAATATGCCACCATTTCGGCCTCCACACAACCTTGAACAATCCCACCAATGGAAAACCCGTTCCAAAAAAAAGCAGCAAGGGGAAAGAAATGGTTTTAGATAATTCATTAACACCCAGTTTTGTGAAACAGAACTGTCTCGTGCCTTTCTCAAGTAAAACACAAGAAATATATTAATAACTTCATAAAACGTAAATGTGTCTCAGCAGGAAATGTATGTACAGTGTCCTTTCTCAATCGTAATTATTAACCTTGGTACCCAGGCAATGGTTACACCGTAGTTAACTAACAACTTAATTAAGAGATCTGTTACAGCGTGATGGAATTTAGCAGCATAATGCAAAATAATGAACTATTATTGACTTTATGACTTTATCACTATACATGTGATCATTTAAAACTTGTTAAAATTATTTTGCATGAAAACACATCAAACTGCTTCTTTTTCAACTAAGGAGATATAATTACTGTAAGATCCTAATTTTGAGTGGGTTTTTTAAGTTACTTTCTTGTACTTGAGTGTGGATTTTTTTGTATACCATTTTAGAGAATATTGAGGACTCATTTTAAATTAGATGTCCACAAATGATAATGAATGATATATCATAATGAATGCAAACTCCGTAGTATATACATTTATTCGCAGTTTAATTACAGTTAATCAGTTTCTGCTTTGAAATCATCAATGCTAGCACGTGAAGCCGTTTCAAATATTCATCTATAAACTAGAGCTAATATGTAATTAGCTCTTTTTTTTTTAAATCGTACCACAAAATGTAAATAAGCCTTCAATGTTATGCTTTTTATTTTTTCAGCAAATTCTACAACTGTATTTCACCAAACTTCCAGACATCGTAGCTGAAGTTTCTTTTTTCTTCCCTTTACCCTTTTGTCCCATGACTACTTTCAAAATCAGCACATTTGGGAACGATGACACCATCCTTTAACGCTCACTTTTATCGCTTTCAGTCCATTAAAAAATTTCGTTTTCCGAAAGGGTTATTAATCAATTATTTGAAGGAAGTCTTTCATCTGTTTTCAATAACTCACAGAGGGCTGGTCATTGGATCATCAATTATTTTCGCTGTCTTTGGCAGAGTTTTGCTTCATTGCATTTAGCCATAACTTTCGTCAAGTTTCTCTGTGAGATTGCATTAATAACCTTATCCTAAACATTACCTTTTTTACTGGGCTAAATTTACTTTTAAAGCCCTTAAGCCTGTAACCACAATTTAAGAAAATTTATACAAATGAATTTCTGTATTTACATTTAAAGTTTTGAATAGCTTCTCCTAATTCATAGGTTGGATCAAGGTCGTTACATTTGGTGAAGGGTAATGACATACAGTAATTTTTACCGATACGAATTCAAAGGCCATAAGATGGGCTTTACCAAAGTAAAGTAGTCCAAAAGTAGAACTTTAGAAATGATAAGAGTACCAAGGTTTTGAAAATTATTTTAATTGTAACTGGATTTAAAACAGCGTATTTATTTCACAAGGGAAAGAAATATAGGGCATGCCCTTGTGGATTTGCTTAAGTTCCAGGAAATAACAAATCTGACAGTTTTTGCTGCCAGCTGCGAAAATGGCAAAAAAATGAAATCGTCAATATATTGGATAGGCCTCCTTTCAAACAGCAAATATCATGGCCTTTCCAGTTTTAGAAGGTTAAGAGCATACCTAAATGCAGCCTAGCAATGAAGTACTATTTATTCATTTGAGAGAATGACAACACAGTTATAAATGCAATTAAAACTTCAGAAATTCTAGGCCCTATTCTTATTTAGAACTGAATTGCTCTAAACAAACGAAACAGAACCGTCGATATCTGAACTAAAATTACGTGGACATTATACCTAGAGTAACACTTAAGCCATGTCACTAGGTTTAAACCACGGTGGCTGCCATTCTCTCTAAATTCGTTGTAACAAGATGGAAACGGATTACTGTAGAAGTATTTAGTTGTGAACATTTTAATACTTTAAATGATTATTTTAATCAGTTTGATGATTCAAAGTGGTGACAAATACCAGGCATCTAAATGAAGATAAATAAATTTTCCTAAAGCTATTTCCAGTGCATAATTTTTAAATTTCTAGAAGGATACACCACAAAATTGAAAACATGCTGATTTTTGAAAGACGAAGAGTAGAACATATTGCAACATGAGAAAGATTCTGTTAGAGAAGCCTCCCACAAGAATAGGCGTTTAATATAATAATATGAGTATATATATATATGATATACTACTAGATATGAGTCTTTTATCTGACACAAGCATATAATTTGAAATTCGCAGTGAAAGCCAAATATGTGCCTTTAATTAGCATTGTTGTGAAACACTGTTTCCAACAACTCAAGCACGTGCTTTCTGTAAGCAAAGAAGGCTTAATATTTTCTCATATTAAGGTTGAAAGGTTTATCCTAAGTTTTTAACAGTTACTTTTAATATAGAAGTCAGACAACAAACATCAGCGTGACATTTTCAAATTTTCACAGGACTAGATTCGATGGTTCGGTAAAACCATCGAAACTAGTCCTGTGAAAATTTGAAAATATAACGCTGATGTTTGTTGTTTGATTTCTAAATTAATATTTGTTCGGTGTGTTATTGTACCTTAATGAGTTACTTTTAAGTTAAAGCTAATTTCATATCCATCTTAATTTCAGCTTACAAAATTCTTACCAGAATGCATTTTTAGAACCGCGTTTAATGCAAATGAGTAAGAGTCGAAGTTCCACTGACTTCGAGAGAGAGCCTCAGAGAGTTTCTGACTAGCGTGCGTTGGCCTTTCGGCTACGTATCTCTAAGCTGTTACTATGCTCGGCCGTATTAAGGGCCCTTGAGATCTTCTCTAGCTAATTCGATATTTTAGGGGCCAACTAGTTAGATTTATGTTAGCTTCGACTACTTCTCTTTAGTTAAGCATTAGTTAAGTTCTTATTTTTACACTTTTGAGTTTCAGCCCAAGGGAAGGCTTTGTTGTACGCCCTGAGAAAGGGACCGACTGTTAATCTTTATTTTGAGCAATAAAAGGTAATTAACCCTTCTTAAGCCTTATGTTTATGTTACTGGACTTTAGTGATTATTTTCGTAGCTGTTCACTAGTTCCTGCACACTCAAGCTGTTAGATAAAAGGGTGGAACTCCACAAGGTGCTAAATATATTTAGAATCATTCCATTAGTTTTTCGTGCTTAAATGACAGGAAGACAGATTTTACTAAAGTTTTTTAAAGTGTAAGGTTTTACCAAAGATTCCTAGTCTGCGAATATTCGATCTATCAAACCACTCCTTTTGAATGACCTTTTCACCACCAAAATGAAATATTCTGGGCTGTTATTATCATTATTACTATTATGATTATGTTATTATCATTATGACCATGTGCATACGTAATTTTTATTACAACGAAAGAAAATATGGTATCGTTTATTAATACTTATATTGGTTATTAATGCTAAGAAGTCATAAATTTATAAATTAAAAACGTGTCGATTTAAATATATAATTAATTGATTACTATTTAAATTATTATATTAAATAAAATCACGCCCAATATAGTATATATAACGTAACAATAAATGCATGCACTGTTTTAAGTTCTTTGTAATAAATAATCACTATATAAACTTTGTAGCATATTTTTATTATCTAAATTTAATCCACAAAAATTTCACCTATTTTCCTACTTTTCTTGTCTTAGTAGTCTGTGCAAAAGAATATCACAAATTATAATAATCAGACTTTTGCGGATTAATGTGAACAAAAGAAAATAAAAAATACAGAAACAAAAAGGCCTGGATAAAAACAGCGAGTGACTTATTCCCATGTGGATGGGAAATATTGAGATGTCTTTGCTCTTTAAAAACTGACGAATGAATGAAATCATCAGTGAAGAATCTAGAATCGCATTCTTCTTATTCTTAATTTTCATTTTTGGTTTTTTTCTTTTAATGGTCTGTGAATTTTTGAATGCAATTTTAATTTGTTTACATTTACTTTTCAGCTCAACTGAGAGTAGATGCAGCAGCTCCTGTTTATATACCAACTGCCCCTCGGGCAGAACCTCTCACAGCGGCTGAAGATATTGATTCAGACGCCACATTACCCACCGTGACAGTCAGAGGGTTCCTCAACTTCAGGACGACAGTCGATGGAACAGTTATAGTCTTCACTCCCGCATCAGAGGCACCTCAGGATCCCACCCCTGCATCCATCGCCTCTCAAGCGTCCAGCGCTGCCCCTGCGTCATCCATTAGCCCCAGAAACGATGAAATCCAACATCTCACGTATACCAACAATGATCGTGAGAGCCAGAAGAGGACGGAATTGGAAAATGAAGCACACACGCCTGAGGACGACAGGCAAAATTTTAGGCAAAGGTGAGTATTTGCCCAAACGTTGTAGGCAATGCATATTATAGACTGCAAAGTTAACCGATATTTAACAAAGTGAATAATAAATGATATGCACTTTAGAGAAATTGAACTTATTTTTGAAAGTTAATTTGATAGTCAAACATCAAATCAAGTTTTTAGATCAAGAAAAATTTTACTATTTATGGTTTGATTATTAAATAAGTACGAATATAATCTTTAATTTTCTTAAAACTGATCGTTATTTAAAAGTGCTCAAAATCTTTTGCAACTTAGAGCTAATATAATTTTAAAATTTAATATTTAATTATTAAATTCTTAAACGTTTTTTAAGAACATAAAATATTTTCTCCGATAATCCAGCCCCTTATGAATATTTCAGTGTGTTTATATAATTTAAGTAAAATGATTACTGATTAAACATTATGTGCCTAAATAAAGCCTTGTCAATTTTGCATAAAATTAAACAGTTTGCGCAATTAAAGATTCCAATATTAACCATGCGTAGAATTATCACATTCCCCCGTGTGTTCTCATGTGGTATAAATGGTTAGCATATCCAGCTAGTAATTTGCAGATTAGTGGCCCGGCAATAACATAGAGAGATTCTTCGGAGCAGAAAACATGAAAACTTGGATGATTTTTCACATTTCCAGCGCCTAAAATACCGGCTACAGTCGAAAACATCGCGGACAAAAACGTCGCGAATAAAACAACGAAAGGCGAAAACGTCGTGGGAGAAAAGAAAGCAAAGAAATAACATCGCAGTTCTAAAACATGATGGTACAAAATGGCGTCGTCGAAAATAAATCGGTTCAAAAACTTCACAGTTTAAAAATATCGCCGTCGAAAATATCGTAGCAAAAATACAGCACCTACAAATCATCGCATGACGATAATATCGCACACATGCGTTTTCAGGTTTTAAAAGCTGTAAATGCATATTCCCATAATGATTTGGATGCGCAAGAAATCTTAATGACACTTTAAGAATAAACGGAAACAAAACAAGATGTAATTTTCACCAAAACAATATTAGATTAACAAACGTGAATCAAAGTAATTTGATAATTAACTAAGGAATTTTTATAGAGGTAACCTCATGCAGTTATTTAGCTTCCTTTTTCTAAACATTTTAGATTTTTAATTTTCTACTCATTTTCAATTTTTAAATGCTTAAGTTTCCTTCTTACTTTTTTAGTAAAAATTTATTTGTTCATTCAAAAATATGAAATATAAAAGTAAAAATATCCTTCTTTCCTTCTTGCACTCCCAAATCGTTACGCGAAAATGTATTTACAGCTTTTAAAACCTCAAAAACGCATGTGTGCGATGTTATCGTCATGTTATGATTTGTAGGTACTTTATTTGTTTACCACGATATTTTCCATGACGATATTTTTAAACTATGAAGTTTTTTAACTGCTTTATTTTCGATGACGATATTTTATACCTCGATATTTCAGAACCGCGGTGTTTTCTCTTTGCTTTCTTTTTTCCTACGATGTTTTGCAGAAAGACGTTCTCGGCTTGCGTTGTTTTCTCCAAGACGTTTTCATCCGCGATGTTTCCGGCGGACACCAGAATACCTAACGTCTCTACAAACATGCAGTGAAATATGCACTTAGATACAAAAGAAGTGGACATAGACATTTGTACTGCACTTTTAGCAACCAAGCAACAATAAAACATATGATGAAGGATTTAATTCTGCGAAAACTTTGCCAAAATTAGATTTCTTCCTTTCTTTGAGACTGCCAAGATTAAAGTAATCAGCCAAAACTGCACAAAATGAAGGATCAAAAACTTACGATTGCCTTTCTTAGAAACAGGGCTATTGGAATATTACTTTTTTCTATCACAAGGAATAATTAATTATCTAAACTTCTGTATGTTTTGTATGTAGACAGGCATAATATCCTCAAAAAATTAAAATATGTCAGTAAGTTGTGAGGTTTCTGTAATTTGAATAACCAGTTATTTTATGCATTTAATCTGTTCTGTTACTTTTCTTTTTCCGTTTTCCACCCAGAATGCAAATGAATTCGACTATCTTTAAGTGAGGGTTGGAGATTGCTAAGACAGAGCGTGTTCTTCCTCTTGAAGGTCAAGTTACTAGTTCTGCTATTCTAAAATTTCGGCTTTGCCTTATACTTGCCGATAGTTAAATTTACGTCAGTTAAGTTCGAGCCAACTTCGCGTTAATTTTCTCTGTGAGCCTTTGCAAATTAGTTTTTTAACTTTAGCTTTACATTTGAATTTCTACTTTGTGCTTTTCACCATAAATGTTGACACAATTGATCCTTCTATTCATCTCATTAAATTTTAAATAAAGGATTTTATACACCGTTCTCAATTCTTATTAAATGTTACCGTTTGTTGTTGTAGCTTCATTCATGCTCAAATACAAAATAATCGAACAATAAACATTTCAGAGTCAAGCAAAATGATAATTAAATTCACCTTTTCATAGAAAATGGAACACACACGAAATTTCTAAAGAGCATTTTAATAATTGAAATTTTGCTGCAATGTATTGTCATTCTGCAAGTTTGAGTATAATTAAATCTGATTAGTCCAGATTATTCTCCAAAAAATTAAAATCATTAGCATTCGATTGCTGTCAGAATTAATTCTAAATTACATTACTGACAATAAAATTGATAACTAGAGTTTATTTCCTTCCTGATTGCTTAACTTATGTGGGTTGTGCAAGCAAGTTCAAAACCTGTTTTAAAATTCCAGATCATTTTTTTTTTAAATAAGTAACCTTCTTAAAAGAACAGGCAGAATAAATGTAGGAATTTTTTATTCTTTCAAAATTTCTATTTCAAATAAAGTTTTATCTGTCATTCGATTATTATAATTTTTTTTCTTGAAGAAGAAAATATTTTTACGATAAAAACTTGAAGCTAACAGTTTGAAACAAATGTACTTTATCCCTTTCAAAATGTAATGCATCTTTTCATACTTTCTGGACAAGTATCCATCAGAAATAATTCAAACATTTTGTTAAATTTCATAATACATATTATTTTCAGTACCAATTGAATATCTGCACTGAAAGTAAGTGAAAAACGCCATGTGAACCTTTATTCACTAAATTGAGGGATTATTTCCAAAAGGCTGTAATTTAGGTTATTAGCATTAAGTTGTTTTGATGCAGGAGACGTGAAAATGTGCGATGCCCTCGCCGGCAGGGTGCTGACCATTACACCACGAAGGCATGCTAAGAAGGCGGGAGAAATATCTTATGAGTTAAACTATTTTTTTCCTTTGAAGAATGAATCCTTATTTATTTCTCAAACAAATAAATAAAATATTTTCCATTTTAAAGTACTTTATTCCTTCTGATATTCTTGGAGATTCTGAAACTTGGGAAAATGATTAAAACATTTTTTTATTTGAATATGCGATTTTCAATCTTTGTGTTGTTCCAAATAGTTAATTTATCTTACATATGTTAAATCTTTATTCGAAATCTGTATGTCTAGGTGATAATTGATATTTATAACGTTCTCATTTATTACGTATATGGATGCATAAGTTCTTTCTTTCTTATATTTAACAAATCGGCAGCTCTCTTTGTTAGAAAACAAGACATACTGTCTTTCTTAAGGATAGCGCGAGGTGGATGTATTTTTCCCAGGTTATTACAAACATACACTATTGCAGTCGCTAATAACACATTTTTCTCCTGTCAAACTTGATTATGAGAACCACCTGCATTCTATTTTATAGTTTCGTCACTTAATGCTTCCCATTTTGTTTTGTTAACTGATGATTGATGGCGCCGTTTCTGAGTGCGCCATAGATTAATGAATGATATTTTTATGGCATTAGGAACATCTGAACTTAGAATATAGCTCAACCACCTCATCCGCGACCAGGATCGCAAACACGCATGCGCTATTCAGACCGAATTAATCTCAAAATAGGGTTGGAAGTATGGGAACTTTCTCTCTTTCCCCTGGAGCATATAAATTCGATCTTTCCGGAGAAGACTTTCACGTCGCAGCAAGTGAGTGTATTATGTGTTTTGGCAGAATGTCAGTGAAGGTTGCGTTTTAGACGGTCATTTTGCGATTAAATATTCCTTACTAAGATAGTTTAAACACAATTTATTGATTTTAACAATTCCACATCTTTGATTTGGATTTAACTTTAAAAATGAGTTACCTTTATGTAGCAGATGATGATTACGTATCTCCTGAGTCAGAGCACTATCGGTTTTAACCATAAGAGCTGTAGCATTAATGCTTAGTTCAAATTGCTTGCGCATTTCGTAGTCTAGCTTTTGAAGTACAATATTTAATAACAAAATATCCGATAAATTATTTTTGTCATACGTAAGCACATTTTTAAAGCACATACTCTTTTAGTAACAATATCTGTTACATATCTTATCCCCTTCTATGATTCAAAAGTTAAATTATGTAAATCCATGTTTTTTTTACATATGTCTCAATTAAGATTTTTTATATTCATACCTGTCTTAAAGTCCTTTAAATAGAGAACTGAATGTATCATCAACAGTTTCAAGATATTTTGCTTCATCAATTAACGCAGCATTTAACTGAATATTACTAGCAATAATGTTTTGGCATTGCAACTTAAAATTATTCAATTCGGTATATTTTTCGGAAACTTTGGGAACAGATAATTGTGGCAAAGGTATTTGTATTTAGAATCAAATTTGCTAAAATCACTTTCATGATCAGAATGTACAGCAGATGATAGAATTTCTATAACTTTTATCTCCAAAACTTCCATTCTTTTTCTATTTCGGCGAATTCTTCATCGATGGCTGTGACATTTTTTTTTAATCAACATCTTCTCAATATCTATCTTTTAAGTTTCTAATGTCCATATGAATAATCTGAAGCGATCTGTACTTTATTTGAAACTAAAGCGAAACTATTCTAATCGAATTAGTTTCGCTTTTAATGCTGTTTTATTTCTATCTAATGCCAGTTTTTTTTTTCTCTACTCCAGTTTGAGGACCA